TATATACATACATACACACATATATATATTTATATATGATTGTGTGTAGCAATTTGCGTGTCGAGCGTCGAGGGCAACCCCAAAAGGCAGCCATATTGTGAATCGGGAATTGGCAGACCAGAGCCCCTGGCTGGCTGCCTGGCTGGCTGTCTGATTGGTCTTGCAATGAGCAATGCTCCTACGATGCCAGCTTATTTCACTTTAATTAAAAATTCAACCCTTAAACAAAATGGCACACACACACACTGACACTCACACATGTGAACGCATTTCATTTCATTCAGCGAACATTTTACAACTTGAACAAATTTGAAAAACAATTAAATGCCATGCGCGCAATTAAGTACAGAGAAGGTGGCAACAACAACAACAGCAGTAGCAGCTGAAGTGGCACACGGGCTGGGTGGTGCGAGCATATACCGTTAATTAAGCAGAAGCAGCTGAAAGACTGCCTGACAATGGGGCTGCCAAGGCAAGGCACAATGGCATGGGAGCCTTCGAGTTTCTGGCTTGCCACTAAGCGTTGCTCCAGGGCGCTAAAACCACAACAACAACAACAACAACAACAGCAACTACAACAACAACCACAAACACGACACAAACAGACAAACACAAGCTTTTGTGTGTGTGCCCCGGCCAATGCCACACAACAAATCCATCAAAACAAACAGCCGTCGGGGTTTATACGGATTGGTATTTGGGGTACGGCTCTCCTCAGCTCTCCTCAGCTCAGCTCAGTTCAGCTTCGTTTGCCCTGAACCGCATCAGAAACATAAACCAAGCGAAAAACTTTCAGCCTGTGCGGCCATGTAAAAAGGATTTAATTATTTGTTCTAAGGATATGGATGCGAATTGTGTGTGATTGTGTGTGTCTGTGTGTGTGTCAATCTGTGTGTGCGTGCTGTCGCTTTGTGAGTGTTTGTACACAAACAGAAAAATATGTTTCACGTCCACTTTCGAGGCTGAACAAATAGTTCCGCTCGCATAGCCCAAAGGCAAAGGGGCAAGTGAGGCAAGTGAGGCAACTGAGGCATTGGCAATGATTATTGGGTCTGGGCTAAATGCTAAGCTGCAGTTTTTAATTGTGAAAACGAGCATAGCTTAATCCTGGTTGGCCTCAGGCAGCAGCAGCAGACATCTCTATTCTAAATACCATTTCCCATTTCCATTTCCATTTCCATTCCCATTCCCATGGCTCAAAATGTCAAATGCACGCGGCAAACGCTGCAGGGCAATTAGAAGAAGCACTCCAGATATAGCTCAGCTCAGTGCCGTGTCGCAGTGGCAAATGAGTTACAATCATAACAACAGCAACAACAACAATTCTCGAGATGGCACACGCGCTGCCACGCCCACTCTCGAGAATCGAATCGCTGCTTCCCACGCGCGCTCAAAAAGTTCTGCGCCCATTCGCCATAATTTGATTGTTTTCTTTGTAGTGTGTGCGGTGGGTGGGTCGGGGTGAGAGCGAAGAGAGGCCGTACGAGGGCAGCTCTGCTAACTGTTGATTGTAGTGATTAACGGCAACGTGGCAGCCTCTGTGATTGCCAGCCAGCAAATTATAGAGCCGAATCTCTAGCGAAAATTGCATGTTGTGAGTCCTGCAGTTCCTTGGCACGCGGCTTTGACTTGGGCCAAGGCGCAATTATGCGGCAGCTGAGCCGACTTAGCCAAGTCACTTGGAAAGCTGACCAGCGGCAAAGGAACTAGAGTGTGCGAGAGAGAGAGAGAGAGAGAGAGAGAGAGAGAGGGGGGCGGTGGGGGGTAGCAAGCGGAAGTGCGGCAGATACGCAATATAATGAAGTGTTTGGGCAATCAAACAAAACAAAAGTTTGCCAACAGCAATTGACCAAGTGATTGTTTAGCTGTTGTTGTTGTTGTTGCTTAGTCGTTGTTGCTTAGTTGCTTGTTGTTCATTTTGGTGGGGAAGCGATTACATTTTATGTGAGAGCACAACTTTGCGGTTGTTTAATGTGCGGCACGTTTAAATTTTTAAACAACACGATTGTCATGCATGTCTGGCGGCAGTCCGCAGTTACCAGTTGCCAGTTGCCAGTTGCCAGTTGCCTGTCGCGGCGGTCTGGCATCATCATCAAAAATTTAAAGAGCTGGCAACGCCATTTTGCTTATTGACGCTGCGTTTTAGCTGATAAATAAATAATTTGGCAGGCAGGCGGCAAGTGGCAGGCGGCTGGCGGCTGGCAGGTCCCCAAACCCCCCAAGTCGATGGCACAACGTCCCCAAACCCCTCAGCGCCAAAAAGGTAAACGAAAATTGTTTCTTGATCATTTTAATGCACCCAAAGGGACGCAAAAGTGAAAAAGTTTTTGTTGCCGGTGATGAGCCAAAATGGGTGGGGAATGAGGGGAGGCAGAAGTGGGATAGGGGGGACAGCATTACGTGATGCGAAGCGACATGGCGAGTGTCGTGCCTGAGTGTGGGGCAAGGGGAGCAGATGGAGTGAGCTGAGCTGCCTCAACTCAATTTCATTAATAGTGAAAGCGTCAGCGCTCGGCCCTCATCATTTAAATAAAAACCAATATTTGATAATAATTGTCGCAGGACATGCAATGCGATAAGCAGCGGCAGCGGCAGCAGCAGCGAGAAGCAACAGCAGCAACAAAATGAGGAAGAAGAAGAAGCAACTGCCATTCGAGTCGTGCCAATGGCAATTCGATAGCTTAATTTCCATGCCGCTTGTTAATTGAAAATGTAATTAATGCACGCATCGATAAGCTCTGTTACCCAGCACCAGATCCAGTGCGTCCGCTGTCCTGCCCTGTCCTGTCCAGTCCTGTTCAGTTCTGTCCTGTGCCTATCCTTTCAAGGAGCGCGACTGGCATTTAGCACGACGCATGCCGCATGCCGTATGCCGTTTGCCGTTTGCCGCATGCAACACTCGCCGTGTTCTGGTAACTCGATACAATTTCAATAGCCTGAAGACCGACCAGCAGTAGAAGAAGAAGAAGGGCCTTAACTTCGACTCCAAAGTGTGTGCGGCAAGTGTGAAAGATTCGAAAAGCTGACCGACTCGAACTCCCCGAAAGCCGACAGCCCTATCGAATTTCGAGTGGCCAACATGCCACGCATAAAAGGAAAGTTTCGTTTGGGAAAATGCAGCCCTTTGTTTCACTTGGGATTCTGAGTTCAGTTTAGTTTTATTCTTATTATTTTTCTCAATTTTTTAATGCAGCTAATTAAATAGTTTCATTTGCTCGCTTTAATGAGCCACAAATTAGGCTGCGGTTGGCCCGCTTTTTATAGCCCATAAAGTAAGCAACGAGAGAGAAAAATATATAAAAAAAACATTAAAGCAAAACAACAATTGCTTTAGGTCTATCGAGAGTCGCTAGTCGTATCCGTTTAGGTTGCAAATTGTTTATGCGACCATCAAGAGACACCTCATAGCTCATATAGAAAGGGACAGCGAGAGAGTTAGATAGAGTGAGAGAGCACTAGTAATAAGAGTTACTTTCAAATGCAGACAGCGTAGCCAATAATTAATACATTGATTGCCAAATTAGCTACTTTTCGAACCCGGAATTTAAAGACAACGCAGACAAATTGGCAACAGGCCAATATCATTTGAATAAATTGCATAAATTATGGCTAGGAATGAAGAAGCAAAGACTCTCAATTATGATGTTTATGACATGGAAGTTCTATTGCCTTTCTATATAATTTCTTTACATATCGAAATTTTCGTTTAGTTGAAACTTTAACTCGAGCTGAGATGGAGACACACACCCACACACACAGACATACACACACCCACTCATAAAGCGCCATAATATTTGTATTGTCTATAGCGGGGCGCTATTAATATGCGATTTAACAAATATTTAGCGAAAACACATGCGATGCGCGCTGCATGCCAAATGAATCAAAAATTTGCTGTACGCACACTCGAAATTCATTGTATTCGAAAGTCAAGAATTTTTACGAGCTTGGGAAAATAATAATTTAATGCTTAAAAATTGTGAGCGATGGACTTGGAGGTAGGGTCATTACTACACTTGTGTGTGCGTGTGTGTGTGTGTGTGTGTGCGTGTGTACACGTGCATGAAATGAATGCCGTCGCATTTTATGTTTTGTTGACTTCTGCGAGCGACAACAAATTTCGTCGTTATTAGCAGAATTTAAATTGCTGTTACCGATTGATTTCGAGCAGGGAGCTCTAGGCGGCAACGACGTGCTGGCTAAAAATATGGCTACATGGCTACATGGGTACATGGCTATATGGCTATATGGCTATATGGCTATGAGTGCTCTGACCAGCCTGGACATTGACATTTTTGGTATCTGCAGCGTCGCGGAGCAGAGCAGAGCAGAGCGGTTTAATATGCCGCCATCGTTCACGACGCGACGTCGCACAGCTAAAAGATGACGAGGCTGTTGTTGTTGTTGTTGTTGCTGCTGCTGCTCCTAGTTAGAAGACGCACACAGGCCAGCTCAAAGGCAGAGCCAGTTGCTGCATATTAATTTGATAACTTATAAATACATATACATACACCACACAATATATATGTATATGTATATGTATATATATATTTGCACACGATGTTGTTGTGCCGGTCTAGGCCTAGGCCACGATCGCTGTTTGGGCATTTGTTAGGCCAGAATATGGCCAAGCCATGGCAGTTTTGACAACTTGACAGTCGTGCAGACACGGACTCGGACTGGGACTCCGACTGGGACAGACGGCACAGTCGACATTGACTTGGCCGTCTGTGGACTTTTTATATTGATTGTATGTCCAGTTTTATGTGGCCCATTTTATGGTTGGCGTGTCAATTTAAAGCGACATTTATAAGCAATTTGTAACTAATTCTAACAAACACCTAACGCATGCCTTGCCAACTTGATCGATCTATTGTATATATAAATATGTATGCCCCTCAACTTGTATATATATATTATTCTGTAGACAGTTGCATCTTGATCGCTTTAATAATATCAACTCTCTCTCTCTCTCTTTCTGTCTCTCTCTCTCTTTGCAGCGGCCGCCCAGCTCATCGCTGTCGTATGGGGGCGCAATGAACGATGATGCTCGCTCGCCGGGCGCTGGTAGTACACCTGGTCCATTATCACAGCAGCCACCTGTCCTAGATACATCAGACCCTGGTAAGTGTTGTAAATCTGATTACACTTCATATGCACTAGATATATGCTAGATATATTCATTTGGGTATTGAAGCTCTGGCTGTCGGTTAAATAATTCAATGAAACGTATCGTTCGCTCTTCATTGAATAGCAGCTGACATTTGGAGTCAACTCATATGGTTACAGTTACGCAGCGAGTGGATGCTCTTTACACCTTTGCTTAGACTTGTCGCTGCCTCAGCTGTTTGATTATGTTGTTTGCCTCAGCCTGAAGCCTGAAGTGTTGCTGTGGCCAAAGTTATGAGCGAGCAACTACTTCAGTGGGCAGAGTGAATGCGGCTCAAAGCTTAAGCACACACACACACATATACACACACATGTGAGTGCGACTGAGAGATACTTAGGGAGAGCCCTAAGCCGCGACTCGTAGACTGCCTGTCTTTTGCATGTTGCAGAGTCTTCACTTCAAAAGTTTGTGGCAACCGAGAGATTTTTCAATATTTTGAGTGTGTGCAGCGGCAACAACAACTACAGCAACAACAACAACAACAATAACTTCGCACTTGGCGCTTCTTTTTGAAGATTTTTATGCTCGACGATGCTCGATGCTCGCTGCTCGCTCTGCTTGGACTTGGACTCCACGTTGAATTATTTATGGTGATAGGCAAAATATTTTTTATGTGTTTTTCTGTTGCCGGCAAGAAAACAAAAGCGCGTTCGGCGCAAACACCACTCGACAGCGACACTCTCCGGGCCACTCGTCGTCCGCCTCGAGTGCTCCATGGTGATAATGCAGTTTTCAGTTTTCAGTTTTCATTTTTCAGTTTTTAGTGTATACATAGATACACATACATATCTATATATACATATACAACTGTTTTGAGTCGTTC